ATGGAATGGGATGGGCTGGAATGGGATGGGCTGGAATGGGATGGGATGGGGATGGGGATGGGATGGGGTTGGGGATGGGATGGGATGGGATGGGGATGGGGATGGGGATGGGGATGGGGATGGGGATGGGGATGGGGTTGAGGTGGTGATGGGATAGAATGGAATGGGATTGGATGGGATGGGACAGGGATGGGGATGGGGATGAGGTGATGATGGGATGGAATGGGATGGGATGGAATGGGATGGGATGGGGATGGGACAGGGATGGGGATGATGGAATGGGATGGGATGGGGATGGGGATGGGGATGGGGATGTGTGCCCACAGCCAGGTGATGGCAGGGACAGGCAGACCCCACACTGTTCCCATCCCATCCTCGAGTGATGCCCGGCGCTGGCACAGCTCTGGGCCACGTTCTCCTTCCTCCTCCCATCCCAGAAGCTGCAGTTCTACGAGAGCCGCCTGCAGCTGCCCGCCCCGCGCTGGAGCGAGCTGGCTGCGCTCATCGCGCAGTGCATGCACTACGCGCCCAGCAGGCGGCCCTGCTTCCGTGCCATCATCCGCGACATCAACAGCCTCATTTCCTCCGGTGGGCGCTGCGGGTGTGGGGACGGGCACGGAGATGGGCAGCGGACCCCCACCTCACCACCTGTCCCCCACCTCCAGACTACGAGCTGCTGTCAGAGCTGTCACCCACCGACGTGACGCTGCGGGAGAGCTTCTGGGGCTACGAACACGTGGCAGCGGGGCACAGCCCCGCGCTGTTCGAGGAGCGGCACCTCAAGTACATCTCGCTGCTGGGCAAGGTGAGGCCCTCTTAGTGATGCCCTTTTTGTGGGGTACCCACGGCCTCATCCACACCTTGCTGTCTCAGGGGTGGCAAAATGCTGGGGGGGTCCGGGGAGCTGAGCGCCCACCCAGCTCTGCCTCCCCAGGGCAATTTTGGCAGCGTGGAGCTGTGCCGCTACGACCCGCTGGGTGACAGCACGGGTGAGCTGGTGGCGGTGAAGAAGCTGCAGCAAGACTCGGCCAAAGAGCTGCAGGATTTTGAGAGGGAGATTGAAATCCTGCACTCGCTGCAGCACGACTTCATCGTCAAGTACCGGGGCGTTTGCTACAGCCGTGGTGAGTGCAAAGCGGATCAGCCCGCGGGGTGGGTTGGCAGGGAGGGGGCTGCACGCATCCTGCTGCATCAACCTGCGCACTGCCTGCTCTCTGCCGGTGACACGTGCGTGCTGCAGGGCGCCGGGGGCTGCGGTTGGTGATGGAGTACCTGCCTGACGGCTGCCTGCGGGACTACCTGCAGAAGAACCAGCACCGCCTGGAGCACCGCACGCTGCTGCTCTACGCCTGGCAGATCTGCAAGGTGGGACCGAGGGGATCCCATTCTCCCATGGAAGGGTTGAGGTGGGGATGCAGTGATGGCACTGTGCCCCGTTCCAAGCAGGGCATGGAGTACCTGGGGGCCCAGCGCTGTGTGCACCGCGACCTGGCCAGCAGGAACATCCTGGTGGAGAGTGAGACCCATGTGAAAATCGGTGACTTCGGGCTGGCCAAGCTGCTGCCACAGGACAAGGACTACTACGTGGTGCAGGAGCCTGGGCAGAGCCCTGTGTTCTGGTGAGGTCCCACAGTGCTGGGTTGGGGGGCACGGTGGGACCCAGTGCTCAGAGCTCCCACCTCCAGGTACGCACCCGAGTCGCTGGCTGACAACGTCTTCTCCCGAGCATCCGACGTGTGGAGCTTTGGGGTGCTGCTCTACGAGCTTTTTACCTACAGCAATAAGAGCAGGAGCCCCTCGGAGGTGAGGCCCCCACACCCCACCGTGCCCCCCCTGTACCACCGCACCCTGTGCTCACTGCAATCCCGCAGGAGTTCCTCCGCATGATGGGCCCTGAGAAACCAGCACAGATCATCTGCCATTTGCTGGAGCTGCTGAAGGATTCCCGGAGGCTCCCGGTGCCCCCAGGCTGCCCCATGGAGGTGAGATCCTCCCCTTCACCACAGCAGGGTCCCAGCCCTCCCCATGCCCCCAACGGCCCCATTCTATCCACAGGTGTATGCGGCGATGCTGAGCTGCTGGGCATTCGCCCCCAGTGCCAGACCCACCTTCAGCGAGCTGGCAGCCAAAGTTGAGGCACTGAGGGATGGCCGTGGCACCACGCGTGGGTAGGGGGTGCCTGGACCCCCGCCCCGCAGCCCCCAGACCCTCCGGCATGACAGACAGACTGACGGACACAGCAATGCTTCAGTGCGTTTTAACCGCCGTGGTTGTGCTGCTGTGACTCCCCTCTCATTCTCCTCTCTTTTGTAACCACGTTTGACCGATTTCAAGTAAATGGTGGTGGAATTTGGCAACTGGAGTGAAGTGAGGGGAATCCATGGTGGGGGGGTTGGGCATGAGGAGAGCAGTTGTGTATCAGTGTCGTCCCAGAGGAAACACAGCAGTGAGCTCAGCCCTCCTATGAGCCACTGGAGACCCCTGGGGAGGGCAGCCTGGGGGCAGCAGGGGTTGGGGAGGGCCTGGGGGGTCCCATCTAGTGCTTGTGTGGTTGAGGATGGGGAGGGGACCTCAGGTCTGTGCCCACCTGCAATGGATGAGCAGACATGGGGTACAAGGGGTGGTCGGTGGGGGGACCCTGAGCTCCCACTCCCCACTGAGCCCCCCTGCACTGTGCGATGGCAGCAGGCACAGAGCCCTCATCTCCAGAATGCGTTCCTTTATTGCACCAAGAGAGGCACCTGGTCACAAGATTGACAGTTTTGGGGCAGAGCCGGGCAGAACCTCCGCGGTGAAGCCACAGGCTGGAGCCGAGGCTCAGCACCCCACCACGCTCAGCCCCACAGCAGCATCCCACAACCCCTCGAGCAGCAGCAGCGACACTGACCCTCCCAGTCCATCCTAGAAGATGCTCACCTTCCTCCCACAGCGCAGCTGGGGCTCACGGATAGCCTGCCACATCATGGCCATCTCGTGGGGCGCAAAGCGGTGCACCACCAGCAGCTCCCTGTAGTAACAGGGGTCCAGCGGGTCAGAATAGCGGGGCACGTAGATGCCCCACGGCCTCATGCCACTGTGGGAGATGGGTGCCAGCCCCGCTTTCTCCAAGCACATCCCCACATAGACGTCGTCGATGGGGAAGAGCGCGATGTGCTGCGCCGCGCGGTGGATGGCGCGTGTGGTGAAGGCAGACATGAGCACCCCTCCTCCGCTGCAGTACGGTGGGTACAGCTCTGATGGCATCAGCTGCGTCGGCACGAAGTACTTGCTGGCTGGATTACGGATGGGTCCCGTGTTAACCAACACCTGCCCTGCCAGCAAGTGCTGCTCACTCGGGACATCCCGTGTAAAGGACACCACGTTGTCCGTGTTGACAAAGACATCATCGTCTCCATTGAAGACGAAGCGCGCTCCGGGGCAGCGCTCCTGCAGCCAGGTGTGAAACAGGAGCAGCTTCAGCGTCAGGTTGAAGAAGGTGTCCTTGAAGTCCCACTGCAGCACGTCGTGATGCTCGTGCTGCTCGTGCCACAGCAGCCGGTTCAATTTGGCCGCGTCCCGTGCGTCAGGGGCCACCCCCACCAGGAACACCCGCCGGATCTGCGCCCCTTCCAAGGTTCTCTGCTGTCCCCACGTCTTCCTGATCGCCTCGCGCCGCTCGTAGTTGGCCGGGGAGGATTTGATGGCCAGGAGGAGGAAGATGTTGGAGGAACCTGCGGGACCCCCGCATTTGCCGGGGACGTCGAGGAGCTGCGGGAAGGCACGGCAGTGCTGGTAGAGCATGAAGTCCTGGGATTGCTTGGGCAGTTTGGCAAAGCCGGAGATGTTCTGCATTGAAGCATTGGCCACGCACGGGGTGATGCTGGGCAGAGCTGGGAGGGGGCTGGGGGCTGCAATGGAGGTGGGTGCGGGGCTGGGGGCTGCGCGAGGCCACGAGGGCGAGGTGGGGGACAGCAGGTAGCACAGCCCCAGGACCCCCACCGTGAGCAAAGCCCACTTCTGCAGTGCACAATGCCACAGGGAGCGGGTCTGCAAGACAGGGAGCACAGCTGGGGCTGCATGTCCCACGTTTATGGGATCACACTGCACCCTACGGCGGGTTGGGATTCCGTCTGCTGATGGTGACGGTGGAGGCTGAAGGCATCACCACCTCACAGCACACGTGGGGCCTCCCAGGCAGGGTCTCCAGGCGTCCCACAGCCACCCCGGGGGCATCACAGCCAATTGCTTCTGGATGCAGAGCTGCCCGTGCTCCATCCCCCTCTCTCTGCTATACTCAACTCCCTCCCTTTCTTTCTTACATCCTTTTGATCCCAAGTCCACTTCCTCCTCCTTTCTGAGAATTCGGGGAGAGGTCAGGCAGTCAATCCTGCCCAGCAGCTGCTGCCTCACACAGAGCAAATAGCCCAGGGCACAGCAGGGCCACGCCAGCATGGGATGGGACGCCCTCTGGAGCACCCTCAGCTGGAGGGAGTGGGTGGCTCTGGATGCACGAAGCCCACCGACAGGTGATATGAGCAGCCCCCACCCCATAAAGATGGAGCCCATGGGCAGGGGACCCCACTCAGCACGAGGACCCCATGCAGCACGGGGACCCTATGGGGACCCACCACCTCCCCCACCTACCCCCAGCCCGGCAAAGCAGGATGCACCCAGCCCCATCCCAGAGCCACCCTGCAGCACATGAAGCCCTGAGCCCCCCCAGCCCCACAGAGCCCCCAGTACTTTCCCACAGATCCATACCAGAGCCATCCTCGTGCGTCACCGGGACAGGATCCGCAATTTCCCTTCCCACACCTGGTGCCACCCATCTGCCCATCCCAGAGCAGGTGGGGCAGCAGCACCCATGGGTGCTAGAAGTGTCACAGTTCAGCATTGGCTCCTCCCTCCCCCCAGCCTCCGAGTCCCCCCAGGAGCACAGTGCAGCAGCTGAGCCCGTTACCAGGGAGCAGCCCAGAGGTGGCAGAGATGGGCGGCACAGTGTGGGGCAGAGGCGGTGAGTAGAAAATAAAGTGTTTAATAAAAGAGCTTCACAGCACGGGGGTGGGATGGGGGGGTCCATCCCTTACAGCAGGAGATGACGCAGTTATGGCTATGGGGAGGAAGGGGAGTGGGGGGGAGGAAGAGGAGCGAGGAGGAGGAGGAGGAAGGCACCCCCTCCACCCAGGCTCCATCCAGTGCTTTGAGCTCACACAACCAAGGGGAGGTCTGGGGGTCTGAGAAGAAGCAGCTCAGGACCCCGCCAGGTAGATCCCTGTGGAGGAAAGGAGGGGAGGGGGAGGCTGAAAGATGGGGGGCTGCGAAGATGGGGACACACACATGGGGCATTGGCACCGTGGGACAACGGAGAGTAGGGTGGTGGAGAGGGGACCTCGGGCACCTGGGGAAGGGACCTCCTGCACCACAGGGGTGGGGAGGGGACTCCACGCACCACGAGGAGTGAGAAAGGGTCCCTGCAGCCCCAGGGCTGTGGGGTGAGGAGGAAAGATGTCGTGCACTCTGGGCAGCACAGAAGGGACCTCGAACATCTCCGACATAGGGGACACAGAAGGGACCACGTCCAACCACAGGCTGTGGGGACAGGGGAGGGATCCCACGTACCCGTGGCAAACCTCTTCTTGACCAGTGACATGCGGTACCCAGCGCCTGCCAGCTCCACCTCGACTCCCGACAGCGTGCTGCCCTCACTGCTGAACTGTGCTGCCACTGGGCTGGGTTTGCTGGGCCCACACAGCGGCTGCCAGCTGGCTGAGAGCCGCCCGCAGCCTGGGGAGATGGAGGGAGCACAGAGGTGATGGGGGTTCCATCCCTGTTCCCACTTGCAGAGTGGGGGGGTGCAGGGATGGACGGAGCCTCACCTCCCTGCCCTGGCGCACTGGGAACATCCAGCAGCTTCCAGAGCAACCTCTTCTCCTCCAGGTTCCTGCGGGGACACAGCCACGTCTCCAAGTCCCCCCACTCCGTTCCCACCACCCCCAGCTCATTTTGGACCCCCCCTCCTCTTTACCAGCTGGCCTTGGGCTGCAGCCGTACGTTGGTGACGGGTTCATCCAGGGGCAGCAGCACGTGGACGTTGGCGAGGGGCACGGGCAGGGCGAGTGCACCCGCGTTGTATCCATACTCCACACTGACCCGCGTGGCTCCGGGTGTGCAATCCCAGCGCACACACAGCCGCAGTGGGGCTGAGCTGGGGCCCAGCCGAGAAAACTGGGGGGTAAAGAGGGGTGGGATGCTGTCACCCTCCCCATCAGAGCTGGGTGCGGGGAGGGGGGGATGTGGGGTGCGCTCACACTGCGCCCAGCTCACCTGGTACTTGAGCAGAGCCACGTTGTAGTAGGAGGCGGATGGGCTCTGCTCTGCTTGTTTCTGCAGCTGCCCCGTCAGCGCAGCCATGTTCAGCCAAAAGTCCCTGGTGCTGGGGTCACTCTGGGAAGGGTCACTGTGGGGATGGGGACACTGCGGCCACGCTGGGATGGGGAGCAGGCAGCCCACAGCTGGCATGCAGTGCCAGCACCCCAAGGCACACCGCTGCACCCACCAGGTGATGAGGGTGCCTGGAGCATCCCGAGAAACCACACACCCTGTACAACCTAAGCTTCCCACTGCCACCAGCCCAGCCCACGTCCCTGTGTCCCCATACCTGTAGAGCAGCTCGGCGTTGGGCAGGAATTGCTCGATGGCACCGGCGTTCAGCAGACGGAAGCTGAGCACGGGGGGAGCCAAGCTGCCGCTGAAGACGCGCACGATGCCGGCGGGGAAGGACATGGTGAGCTCCCCCGTCACCTTCACCAAGCAGCTGCGGGGACGGCTGGGGGTCAGCAGGCAGACAGCCGGGGGGACCCCAACCCCCAACCACGACCCCAACCCCAAGCCTGACCCCCCCCTACCTGTCGGCATCGCGCCCCTTGAAGTACGCATGCACGTACTCGGTGAAGGCGGTGGCCACGGGCAGCGCGTCCTGCGAGCCCAGCACCACGGGGCTGGGACCCCGAGACAGCCCTGGGGGCAACACACACCCCATGAGCACCCAGAGGGTCCCACGGCCCCACATCCCCCACACATCCAGGATTCTCCCAACGCACCGAGGGGTGGTGGGCACACGGAGAAGAAGCCGTGCTCCCCCAGGCTGGCGGGGGCTGAATGTGAGGGGCAGCTCCAGGAGGGTGGGGGGCTGAGCGAGCGTGACTGTGG